TCTTGGTGTGAGTCGTTGTTGCCGCTCCTTGCGTGTTAATTGTGAGAGCGCTGTAACGAACGCATTTGTAACGTCGCTTTAATGGAAAAGTCTGGGTACCTTGCTAGCGAGCCTCATGCGTCTTCATGTTCGCAAGTGAGTGCAAGAATGAGTATAACGCAATTCGCCGTGATAAGCAATTTGAGGCATTATCTGGAAGCATATGGCACAGGTTGTCCCTGGTAGAATTGGAATCGGTCGTTCCGCCTTTCGTCTTTCTCCTCTTTCTCGTTATCGGAGTTCTTCTGGTGCGTTCTTGCAGGATTTCACGTGGATGGTTCGGTCAAAGACGCCCAAGGCCCAGGAGGGCCCAGGAGGCTCATGCATCTCGTGCGAGGGCTTGAAAAACGCCCCAAGAAAGTCGAGGCGGAATGCGCATCACGATGGCGCGGCCTCGGGTTTGTAGGCTTGGGTAAACCCGTTGGTAGAATTTCCGAGAGTGTGATGCACTCGCATGAGGCCCCCAGAGGCTCGGACAAATTGCTACGAGGTTATCAAGGGCCTCATGATTGGCCGAAATCCCTAGGTGCTCCAGCGTTGTGGTCGCTGTGTCCATTTTGGCTCACAGCATTGCTGGGTGGCTGTGAGCTTAGCTCCGCCTATCAGCAAACGTTTCCTTTTTCCAGCTTTCCTTGCGGTCGGCATGGGGAGGTTCACGATGGCAATCTCGGTTGCATGTCCATCGTGTGCAGCATGAGCCCCTTCGCGGACAGGGATGCCCGTTGGCGCGTAGAATTCGACGGCGATTTTCCAACTGACAAAGTCGCATGGTGGGGATGATAAGTATACGCTTTACTTTCGAACATGGGCATCCAGGGCCATGCGCTTAGCGCAGGCTGTCGAGGCATTCGCATTCCGAGCCCTCACGTTAGCCCAGATCTCTTGGAAGCAGCCCATCGGAGCGGAATGTCTATGTCGGAGCGGTTGCGCCGAGAGAAGAGTGCGCTACACGCATCAGGGGCAGTGGATCACGAGCAGTCTTTTGTCTTGAGCGGCAGCGTATTTATCTGCAAGAGCTGGGGAGGTGGACGAGATGCATGGACCGCGCTCGCGAGATCGGCACAATGCCTTGTTGATCTGCGCTGGCTCTAAGGAGAATCCCGCCATAACATTCACTGTGCAAGCGGTGTGTGGACGTGATGACTGGAAGAGGGGCCTGACCTCGCAGAATCACGGGTGTTCTGCTTGCAAAGAAGTTTTTGAGGAAGGCGTGCCGGGCGCGAAGATTATGGGGCACCGTCGGTATTCCGATAAAGATCTCGTGTGCCCGGGCTGCGCAGAGCGAGGGATCGCGCCTGGCAACATCGACGAGCACCAGTGCGAAGATTGCTTGGGGCACTTGGCCAGCGTCGCGTTCGACAGGCACGTGCTGTATCATGCGAAGAGGCGGGAGAAGGCTCGTTTGGTGTTTCTGGACTGTCAGACGATGCGGCGGTGCGGAACGTGTACAACGGCCTGTGAGCTGAAGTACTGGTCGAAGTCTAATCGCAAGCGTCGCGGGTTTTTTTGGGGCACATTGGCAGCTTTTGCTCGGCGGGGGCGCTTAGATTTCCTGTTTGTCTGCTACGGAAGTTGCCGAAGCAGGGGCGCTTTTGGTGCGTGGCAGTGATGTTGCTAGAGGACGTCGACGGCGACGGCCTTGAAAACGCCGAAAGCGGCGACGACGACCAGGACCACGACGACTACGACGACGATGGCCGCTCGACGACGACGACGACGACGACGACGACGACGACCACGACGAAGACGCCGACGCCGAGGACGACGACGACGACGACCCTACGAGGACGTCGTCGAGACAGCGACGACGACGACTACAACGAGAACGTGAATGGCGACGTCGACGACGCCGACGCCACGTCGACGACAGGCGGGGCACTCCTGGTAGCGGCGTCACTCTGGAGAGCGAGCGGAACGCTCGCGGCCATTCTGGTTGTGTTCCGATGTGGCAGCGTTGCTGGGTATGGTTATATCGACCGTGACCTTATGGGCTCGCCGCTTTTTGTCATGATTGTGTTTCACTCCTTGCTCCATTGGGCTCGCCTTCGTGGCAGGAGCGTTGTTGCGGTGAACGCTTGGGGTCACGCAGGCACGGTTGTCACCGCGGGATGTTCCAGTTACGCGTCACTGAGGAGCTCTTATTTGTACGTCCCGCTCCCTTGCGGAATCAGGCCACTCTCCTTTGTCGAATACATACACGCGCATACATGCCAAACGCACTCGCAGAACATGGAAGAACACAAGCATCATACGGAATGTGAAGTTTCCTTCTCGCTGCCGTGGGCGGTCAATCGGGCGCTCGCCAGGTCTGGAAGTTGAATCTTCGATGCTTCGTTTACCGCGTTCGTGCGCAGTAGGCGCGTCGAGCGTTAGGCACTGTGCTGGCTGAACTGCACCAGACCTGATTCATCAGAGCAGGGGAAAAAACACCAACGCAGGAAGAAGGCCTCCCCTAAGGTAGCAGGTTGACAGAGCCTCGGGAGGGCCTCCGCAGATAATGCAAGAGTTCAGTTCTCTGTGTGTTGCAGATATGTAATCGTTGTGGTTCCTCGTGACGTAAGGTGTCGGGGGCTCTCGTCCTTCCTTGTGTGAGTCGTTCGGGCCCTTCATTGTGTGCGAGTCGTTCGGACTCATTGTGGTGTGAGTTGTTTGGGCACTTCGTCTTCGTGTGCGTCGTTCGGGTTCCTCCTTGTGTGTGAGTCGTTCGGGCTCCTCGTTCTGTGAATAGTTCGGGCTCCCCGTCCTGGTGTGAGTCGTTCGGGAGCTTCTTTGCGTGTGAGTCGTTCGGGCTCGTCGTGGTGTGAGTCCTTCGGGCCGCTCTTCCTGGTGTGAGTCGCTCGGGTTCAGAAGCCGCCGCTGGCCCTGGGGTGGGGGGGTTGTCAACAAAGGGGGTGGGCCTCTTGCGGGCAGCCTGGGTTCTCGGGGGTCGAGGGTCGAGGTATTCAGACGTTCGTGGCTTGTTTTTCCTTACCAGCGTTTCGCTAGAGGGTTCTCATGCTGTTCAAGGATTGCGAAGGCCTTACGGCCGGTGCCGCCAACCCTGAAGGGAGACGACGACGACGGAGGACGACGACGACGACGACGACGACGACGACGACGACGACGACGACGACGACGACGACGACGACGGCGGCGGCGGCGGCGGCGGCGGCGGCGGCGGTGGCAACGAGGACCACGCTGACATGTGCCAGAGTCCTCAGATATGCTTCTTGGGGTCTCTTCGGAAGTCTCTCGGGGGCCTCTGGTGAGGAATTTTCGGGCCTCTTTGGAGCCTCTTGGGCGTCTTGGGAGCCTCTTGGGGGCCTCTTCGGGCTTCCCTGGGACCTCTTGTGGGCCTCTTGGGGCCTTTTGGGAACCTCTTGGGGCCTCCTGGGAGCCTCTTTGGGCCGAGGGCCGTCTTGGAAACGTGTTGGGCTGTCTTGGGGTCCTCCTGGGCGTTTTGTTTTGGGCCCTCCTTGGAGATCTCGACAGGTGCATGTGGGGCGTCCTTGAGGACCTTGGGGGGCATCGAGACACGTTTCGCCGCTGGCCCTTTCTCGCACAGGACACGTCATGACCTTTTTTGGGCAGTGCTTCTCCTCCTCGTCGTATCCCTGACCTGTGCTCCTCGGCGTCCTTTTCTTCCATCCTCCATCCTCACACTCCTACTTCTCCCCCAGTTCCCTCTTCCTCACTCTGCCTCTTCCTCCTCGACCTCCTCCTGCTCCTCCTCCTCCTGCCCTGCCTTCTCCGCGCGTCGCCGTTTTCTCTCAAGTGTTATGCTCAGCGCGCATCTTACGTGGACAGGCTGGACAGTGTTGTGCTGATCTCTGCCGTGGTCGCAGGCGCGCGGGATGGCGCCCGCGACCGCCACGCTTAACAGGCTCGTCGCCACTGCCCTGGTGAGCTACGTCCTATTCGGCTACGACACGGGCGTGGTGAGCGGCGGTTTGGTGATGATCTCTGGCGACTTTGACCTGAGCGACGAGCAGAAAGCCTTGGTCGTGGACATCACCCGAAGAAGAGAGCCCTGCGTAAACATGAACCGTCGGATCTCCGCGGGGATTTCTCGGATCTGCGCTGGACCACCCTCCCTGGAGCGCGGAGCGTGGCAGCGCGGCGCCGGAGGCGCCGCCAGGGGGGCCCAGCGCCGATCCAAGAAAGCCGAGTGTGGCTCCGAAGGTTATTCCCTACCTAGGCTCTGCCTAGAAGGGTTCTTACTTTCTTTGCTAAAGGGGGCGGGCAATGCTACCCACCCCGGGCGGTTCCCCCAGTTGCGCCCCCCTGGTTCCCCCAGTTGCGCCCCCTGGGTTCCCCGAGCTTAGCTTAGCTTAACTTACCCTGAGCTTAGCTTCGCTTAGCTTTAGCTTAGCTTAGCTTAGCTTAGCTTAGCTTAGCTTAGCTTAGCTTAGCTTAGCTTAGCTTAGCTTAGCTTAGCTTAGCTTAGCTTAGCTTAGCTTAGCTTAGCTTAGCTTAGCTTAGCTTAGCTTAGCTAGCCTAGCCTAGCCTAGCTTAGCTTAGCTTAGCTCAGCTCAGCTTAGCTTAGCTTAGCTTTGCCTAGCCCAGCTTAGCTTAGCTTAACTTACCCTGAGCTTAGCTTAGCTTAGCTTAGCTTAGCTTAGCTTAGCTTAGCTTAGCTTAGCTTAGCTTAGCTTAGCTTAGCTTAGCTTAGCTTAGCTTAGCTTAGCTTAGCTTAGCTTAGCTTAGCTTAGCTTTGCCTAGCCTAGCCTAGCTTAGCTTAGCTTAGCTCAGCTCAGCTTAGCTTAGCTTAGCTTTGCCTAGCCCAGCTTAGCTTAGCTTAGCTTAGCTTAGCTTCGCTTCGCTTCGCTTAGCTTAGCTTAGCTTCGCTTCGCTTCGCTTAGCTTAGCTTAGCTTAGCTTAGCTTAGCTTAGCTTAGCTTACCCCATCTTAGCTTAGCTTAGCTTAGCTTAGCTGTTGCTTTCCTGAATGCTCCAACTCCTAGGTAGGGTCGCACTGGGATAATGTTTATGGAGTTTTCCCTTCCCGTAATCACGCTGTTCTTGGCCCTCATCGCAGCTGCGGCAGGGGGTGTCCTGGGCGATCTGTACGGCAGGAGGACCATCATGCTGCTGGCGTCCGTCTTCTACGTCTGTGGGCCGGCGCTTTCTGCGCTGGCCGCGGATTTTGGTGCGCTGGCCACAGGCCGTGCTGTGCTGGGCGTCGGAGTGGGCCTCTCTTTCGTGTCCGTGCCGACCTACATTCGGCGGCGCGCCAGGGGAGGGAAGCAGAGCGGGCCGGGCCTCCTCCGACGGCTCAGGAGGGCCTCCGGCCTTCTCCGAGGCGCTTGCCGAGCCTTCGCCGAAGCCGCAGGGGAGGCCTCTCGGAGGGCCTCCGAGAAGACCTGCCGCCCTCCGCGAAGGCCTGCCCCTGCTCGCTGCCGCTCCCGCGGCGCGCCGCCGGCACGTAGCAGAGGTGGCTCCGCAGGACACGCGCGGCTTCCTGGTCGACCTCGCAGACTTCGTCGTGGTCGCGGGGCAGCTGCTCGCGGGCATCGTGAACGGCCTGGTCTCCCAGAGCGGGCACGGCTGGCGCTGGAGCGTGGGGCTGGCCGCTGTCATCGCGCTGGTCCAGCTGCCCCTGCTGCTAGCTGCTGGGCTCGTTTTCCACCACCACCATCAGTTGGAGGGGGGAAGGAGGTGGAGGAGGAGGAGGAGGAGGAGGAGGAGGAGGAGGAAGAGGAGGAGGAGGAGTTGGAGGGGGGAAGGAGGTGGAGGAGGAGGAGGAGGAGGAGGAGGAGGAGGAGGAGGGGGAGGAGGAGGAGGAGGAGGAGGAGGAGGAGGAGGAGGAGGGGGAGGGGGGGAGGACCCCCTCCCCCCCCCACTTCTGGGGGTGGTGGTGGAATCAAGCCCACCACCAGCGGCCCCTGAGTCGCCCCGCTGGCTGCTCGCCAAGGGCCGGAGGGCGGAGGCGGAGGAGGTGCTCCGTTCTCTGAGGCCGGCGGGCGACGAGGGAGAGGCTTCCTTCAGGGAGGAGCTGCAGGCGGCGCTGGCGTCTGCAGAGGCAGAGAAGGCAGTGGGCTCTGAGACCTGGTGCACGAGCCGAGTGCGGCGAGCCATCGTCATCGGGTTTGGGCTCCAGATGCTCAACCAGCTGACAGGCATAAACACCGTCATGTATTTCGGGGCCAGTATACTCGTCTCTGCGGGATTCGACCAGACGCAATCGATATGGCTATCCTGCTTGTGCAATTTTGCACAGGTCACGGGAGTTGCCATTCAGCTTTGTCAGATCGACACGATGGGCCGTCGCTTTACAGCACTCACTTCGAGCGTCGGTGTTGTTCTCTCTCTGCTGCTGCTGGGAGTGGCTTTTCATGCAAGCAATCTCCAGTGGCTATGTGTACTGGCATTGATGAGTTACCTGGTCTCCTTCGGCGCTGGAATGTCGGGGGTTCCGTATGTGGTGAACTCCGAAATATATGCACCTGCCTGCGGCAAATTCCGTTCTGGGATCGGCGCCGGACCCCTCTCGCTGGCGCGCGGAGGCGCGCGCCAAGAGGGTGCAACGCAGATACAAGGGGGTGCAACGCGGACCTCGGAAAGTCAAAGCCTGTACAGCTTCGTTTTCGTCGATCGAGGTCCATGCATGACGCAGGACGGTCCTGCCACGCTCTCCCGAGCATGCCCGTTTGAGCCGTGCTCGAGCCGCCTGGGAGGCAGCGCTGCGATGCCTGCAGCATGTCGCAGCGGTAACGCTGCAAGTTGTCGCGTCGACTCGAGGGCTTCCTGGAGGCCTCTCGTGTCCTTCTTCTAGGCCTAGTGGGGACATCACCGTGGCCGGCGGCGCGCCGAAGGGCGGGGGGCCTTCGAGAAGGGCCGCCCCCGCTGTCTTTTTTCGTGGGCTCGCCGCCGATTGGGAGCCTGTGGGGGCTCTTGGGGGCCTTTGGGGGTACGGTAGGTTCGCGTCGTCTCGACTGGCGGCCACCCAGAGCTGGTCGATGCTGAACGATCTGACGCTTCGGTTCACGGCCGCTCGTTCAAGGTGGAACGCTCCCCGCGGTGTCAGGAACCAACGCCGAAGTCGGCACGACCCGCATCTGCCGTGTCGGGGTTGTCTTAGGTCGGGCGTGTCTCCCTACAGGGGGATTTTGGTCGACAAATGGAAAATAGTCAAAAAATGCTCCCCAAATGCTGAATAATAGTCGAAAGATCGTGCCCAGACTATTTTTTTTGACTGTTTTTAAATCCTCCTCCTGTAGAGGGACGTGCCCGACTTGAGGGTTGTCTTGGGCGACGTGGTTCTGCCGGGCTCTCCCGAGGACAGCCTCGAGGTCAAATTATGATTCTGCCCTGGTCCGCAATCCGTTATAATCCCGCTTAATCCCGCTGAATCTGGCTTAATCCCGCTTAATCCCGCTTAATCCGGCTTCATATGAGGCCCACTCCGGCGTAACAGCCCCCCAACGGGGCTTAATCCTTTTTAATCCTTCCGACGGAAACCTCCCAGTAGTTGCCTCCCAACGTTTTTTGGGGCCGCCGGGTCGGGTCTTGGTGTGGCTGTCTCGGGGAGGCTTTTCGTGGTCGTCCTGGGCCGTCTTCGGGGAGGGGGTCCCGGCCCGTCGTGGGCCCCTTTCGGGCCCATCCTGGACCGTCGAGGAGGAGGAGGAGGAGGAGGAGGAGGAGGAGGAGGAGGAGGAGGTGCTTGGGTCCCCGCGAACACTTCTCGAGGCCACCCGACACTGAAAAGTGTCGCCACTGTCGTTGTTCAGAGCATCCTAGAGCCTTGCTGGAAGGCTTCTTGGACGCCTCTTCGAGTCTTCTTGGGATCTCTTGGGGTGTCTTGGTGTGGGCATCTCGGACCCTCTGGGGGATGGGTGGACCGTCTTGAGCTGGTCGAGGGGCATCTTGCAGCCATCTTGGGGCGACTTGGGGCCATCTTGGGGCTGAAAAGGGCACCTGGAAGGAACATGCAGGGGGAGGTATTGTGAAGTGAGCTCAAAGGAGAGATGAGGAGCGTCGCGCCTGCGTCCGCTGCCGCTAGTATCTCGGCACGCCCAAGGCGCAGTAGATGGTTCGGCGTGCCATGCCATGTCCGACAGTGGTTGCATCACCCCGGCTGCGGATACGTTGGGTTCGCGTCATGTCGACGCGGCGGCGACCCCGGTTCGGGCGTTCAAGATCAGACGCCGCCAGTGGCACGGACTCGGTGGATATCGGACGATGTGCGCTATCGAAAAGGCACCCAATCGTTGAAGGCTGTCCGAGCCACGCAGCGTTGGAGACCAGTGCGCGGGTCGTCGGAGCACGAGTCTGCCGCACGTGGGGCTTCCCTTGGAAGGTGCAGCAGCCTTCTCAGACAACCCACGGGCATTGCAGCATTGCCCCACGTGCCGAAGGGCAGGGTGGCGGACCCCCTGGGCATCCGGGTCCGCTGCAACTCCTTCGCAGGGGTCAGCAATTGGGGCTTCAACTGGGTCGTGAGCACCACCTTCTCCATCCGGAGGAGCAAAAAACGCACAGAGACACAACCCTTCGGAGCTCCGCACGGATCTCTCGGGTCGTCGCTGGGCCCCCTCTCTGGCGCACAGAAACCGCGCCAGAGGCGGCGCTGGAGGCACCGTCACGGGGGCCTGGCGCCGATACAGCACATTCGCGTGGGGCTCTATGGGGCTCTTGAAGGTTCGCTCTCGTGCCGTTTTTTCCTCCTCGACCCGTGTTTCTGCACTTCGACCTCGTCTACGCCGCCTTCTTCACCTACGCCGCCATCGGCGCGGTGGGCTTCGCCTGGCTCTACCACTACCTCCCCGAGACCGCGCACGTGCCCCTGGAGGACATCGACGCCTTCTTCCAGGACCCCTACCCCGACCCGAAGTGGGCGGCCCTCGGCTTCTTCGGCCTCCGCCGGGGGCCTTGCGGCGAGGGCACCGCCGACGAGGACTCCGAGGGTACCTCGGACGGCTCCGTCGACTCGTCGACCAGCGACTGAGACTTTTTTCATCGAGGGAAGAAACACGATGAACATGACCAAGCTGTTCCGAGATCTTTTCGGGGCCGATCTTGGTCATGGTCCATGCGGGCCGTTGCCGATTCGCCATGGTGGTCCACGGAGTTGTGGCGACCGAGGTGGTCGATTACCAAGATCGGCAGCGCAGTTTTCGCGTTCAGTCTTTGTCATGGTGACTGTTTCCTTTCCCTCCATTTCAAGCGCCCCCTCTCTCGGGGCTTTTTGCTCGGTACGTAGAAGCCAATACAGTCCCAAACCGTTTTTTTTCCCGTATCCTTAAGGTGGGGTTTTTGTTATTACCCAGTCACCTCCGACTCACATCTCACACCTCCCTGTCCCCCCACTCCTCCTCTTCCCACCTAGACTTAGTCATACTCGGGCCCACGCAGACTCAGAATCACTCACACTCAGGCTCTCTTACATCCGCCTCATCTTCCCCCAGACTCACTCATACTAAGACTCACGCACGCTCAGACTCACACCCAGACACACTCACGTCCCTCTCTTCCTCATTCAGACTCACTCATACTCAGACTCATTCGCACTCAGACTCACTCATTCTCACGACTTTCCTCACACCCAGACACACTCATACTCCGACTCACTCAGACTCAGACTCACTCACACCTAGACTCACTCGAAGTGAGAGTCAATCATATTCAGACTCACTCGCAATCAGCCTGACTCGCGCTTAGACTTGTGACCCACTCGCACTCAGACTCGCAGAATGTGAGGATTTCTCAGCGGATCTGCTGGTTTCAGCACCCGCAGGGGGAGCCTCCAGGGGCGGTTTCACGGCCCCCGCTCGCGGCCAGATTCCCGGTATCTCTTAGGGGGTTTGCTTGCTTGGTGGCATGGGCTTCGGTGCTTTCAGCGCAGGGTGTGAGGATGTGTCGGCCGACTTGGATTGGTTTCAGCATCCCAGGGGGGAGCCGCCAGGAGTGGCTTCACGGCCCCGCTCGCGGCCCTGCCTGTGGGGACGCCTCGGGCGGTTTGCCTGTTTGGTGGCTCGGACTTCGGTGCCTTCGGAGCTCAACGCGTGAGGATGTCTCAGCACACTTGCCGGCTTCGGCACCCCAAAGGGGAAGTAAAGACGCACACAAACAATACTACATCCTATATAGAGAGAGAGAGAGAGAGAGAGAGAGAGAGAGATAGAAACGTCCCAAAAGGGGGAGCCGCCAGTGCCCGTTCTCGCGCCCAGACTGTTGGGACGTCCCAGGCGGCGTGCCTGTCGGGCCCGCCCCGGCTTCCCTGCCCTCGGAGCAGCTCCTGCGCACCCCGTGGGCGAGGCGCCGGCCGCCGCCCTCCCCCCCCCCGCAGAGGGGGGAGCCGCCGGGGGGGGCGGAGCGCCTGCCCGCTCGCTGCCAGATCCTGGGGGTGTCGAGCCAGGCGCTCCGTCTGCCTCCTCCTCCTCCTCCTCCTCCTCCTCCTCCTCCTCCTCCTCCTCCTCCTCCTCCTCCTCCTCCTCCCCCTCCCCCTCCCCCCCCTCCTCCTCCCCCTCCTCCCCTTCCTCCCCCTCCTCCCCCTCCTCCCCCTCCTCCCCCTCCTCCCATCCTCGCTCCCGTCCTCGCTCCGTCGCTCCCGTCCACTCGGGGCCCCGTGGCCGCCTCGAGGTGGGGAAAAGAAGGACTGGCCGCCAGGGAGGGGCTGGGAGGACGGAGGAGGAGCCTGGAGGGCGCAGGAGGAGGGGGAGGGAAGGAGGGAGGACGAGAAGGGAGGGGCTATGCGGCGAGGAGGAAGAGGAGAGAGAAAGAGAGAGAGAGAGAGAGGGGATGGGGTCGCCAGGAGGGGGGGCACTTGCTGAGGAGGACCAGGGACGACAGAGGAGGGAGGGCGAGGAGGAGGAGGAGGAAGGAGGAGGACGCAGGAGGAGGGAGAAGGACAGCCGCCAGGGAGGACCAGAAGGCTGACACAGGAGGGCAGAACACCGAGGACGGAGGAAGAGCAGGGACGGGGTACGACGAGGAGCAAGTGGAAGGAGAGGGGAGGGGCCTGCTTGCTGCCTGTTGGTGACGCTCAGACGCTCACAGCGGGACGTGCAAGGAACTGAGATGCTCATGTGGGGATCTCCGCGTCGAGTAGTGTTCAGCACGCGCCACCCGGACCCGTCTGCCCCTGCCCTGGGGACCAGGATCTCATCACGAGCTGTTTTTTGAAAGAAATCCTCGTCGTCTTGCCTGCAGTTTCGGATCCCGCCTATTCCCCCCTCAATTCGGAATAAGGCTGACCGCATCTTCCGTGGGGCCGAATGGGCCTAGGTCACGGTGCCAATCAGGGCCTGGCCCCACAGTGGGCGGCAGCGCCGTCTAGAGACCTCGGGAGGGTCGACTCCCCTCCACATTCGCCGGCTCGCGGCAATCTGGACCTACCGCTGCCGCCTCGGATGTTCAGTGTATGTATTCATATCTGTATGTATATATATATATACACATGAACATCCATATATCAGTATATGACTATGTATGTATATACACATTTATTCCTATTTCTATATTTTTAATGGGCCGGGGAGCCCCCCCCCATCGCCCCCCCCCTCCCTAACGAATTTGGCCCTCCCCAGGCCTCCGGGCAACCCTTCAGACGACCCGGGAGAACCTCACGAGAGTCCGAAGACGGCCCTAGACGGGTTTCAGGCGTTCTGGCGCGCTTCCGAAACGACCCCAGAGAGCCCCACTACGGTCCGCGACGACCCCCAAGAAGCCGTCATACCCCCAAAGATCGCCCCGAAACGTCCCAAGAGGCCTCCAAGAGCACTCCCAAGAAGGCCCCAAGGGGCAAACATCATTGATTTTCTATGTTTTTTTGTGAATTCTGGGGTTCTCCTCTTTTCGGCTTCCCGACGCTCCAAGACGGCGGTCTTCTGGGCGTCCGAAGCCGCCTGGGAGGAGCCCAAATCGCCCCACAACTATCCGAAAGGGCTTCCAGGCAGTCCAAGAGAGCCCCAAAACGGCACAACAGGGGTCCAAGATGGCCCTCAGAGAGCCCCATGGCGGCCCAAGATGGCCTCAAGACACCCTCCGAAGCATTCCAAATCGTGACCGGGGTTGGACCGTGGTTGGAGGCAGGGTGGCCCGAGGAAGCCTCCAGAGGCCCCCAGAACACGCCCAGGAGGCCTCCAGAAGGCCTTCAGAAAGCCTGAAACAAGTTTTGTGAGGCCCCCAGAGGCCCTCCAAGGAGGAGCCTCCACAAAAAGAGCAGAGGAGGATGGGGAGAATGCGCAGGGTATCGCGAAAATGAGGAAAAATAAGCATGAAGGAAGGATAACGAATCACATTATCATAGCGGCGATGCTGGAAAAGGAAACAAGGAGTTATCGCTACATTGCCGGCTTGATCTTCTTGCTATTCCGCCTGCGTGCCAACTTCAAGGACGAAGGTGCATGGCGCGAAGCGCCACTGCAGTCTTGTACATATATATATATATATAGATATGTATACATGCATGTACACACCCACACGTACTCAGTATCGAAAACGCCTACGGCGAACGACCGCCGCCCCATGCCTTTGGAAACGCCTGTGTGGCCAGCCGTTTAGCCGAAGTCTTCCCAAGCTATTGGGCTATGTGCTCCCCCAGCAACTGTGGACCCCCTTGGGGAAACCTATTGGAGGAAGAGAGGAGGAAAGGGAGAAGGAGGGGGACGAGAAAGAGGAGGCCTTTCGAGGGCCTCTTGGGGCTTCCTGGGGGCTTTCTGGGGGCCCTTTTACAGACAGGGAAAGGTTACTGCTTTCGATTTGCTACAACGACCGCGGCGATGGCAATGGCGAGGACGACCGTGGCGACGAGAAGGTGTGGGGCGAAGGCGTTTTCCCCCCTGCCGCCGCCCGCGCCCCCTCCCTCCGCCTCCTCGACCTGCCTGGTCTTCACGCATTACGCCCTCACCTGGAGGGGGTTTCGCACTGCACCGCCTCGGCTGGCACCCTCCTCGGCAGCACACGGACCACGTGGGCGGCCCGACCTCACGGGTCCGAGGCTGCTGCCCGCCTCCGCCACCGCCCCTGGTCCTGCCTGTGCACTGGCCCGCGATCCGGGCTCTGCCTGCAGGCCGCCTCGGCGCCTCCCTGCGCGCCGGGCGCCGCCTGCCTCCGCTTCTGCCTGGCACCGCCGGCACCCAGGCCTCCTCCTCTCTGCCTTTTCTCCCCAGCCCTCTCGCTTCGGGGCCTGCGTCTGCCAACAGTGCACCAGCTCGGTGCCCTTCCCCAGCGGCCCTCGCCCTTGCGACGGGCCTGCCTTTCGGCCCTCCGGCCGCGCCCTCTCCTCGCCCCGGAACCCTGGGCTGGCTGCCGCCCGCGCCCGCGCCCCGCCCCGCCCCCGCTTCCGCCTTGCCTGGTTTTCAGGCCGACCCCTCACCTGGAGGTGGTCTCGCACTGGCCGTCGCTGGCCCGGTTGCTCACGCAGGTCACGTGTGACCTCAGCACCCGCTGGGCCTTGGCTCTATTCCACGTTCGCCTTCGTCACCAGCCCCTGCTGGGCACTGACCCCCCGCCACGGCCTGTTGCCTGGCAGCCTGCCTTGTCGGCTCCCCCCTCCCCTCCAGCGGCCAGCTTGCCGCCGCTGGTCCCCGCCTCCCGGCGCCGCCCCCGCCGCGCGCCTGGCCCTGCTCTGAGCGGGCCCGGCTTCCTCCCTCCCGCCGCCGCCGGGCGCCTCCTCCCTCCCTCTGCATGGTGGCTTAATTAGCGTTCGTGCATCTACCAACGCCCCTTCGCTAGCGTAGTGACTCTGCCCAGCCGCCGACGGAAAAATTGGGGCGAAGGCGACGGCGGCAAAACCTCCTGCAGTCGGACAGAGGTACAAGATCGAGGTCGGTTCGGGGAGGGTGCCCTCATGTTCTTCGTGCTTGTGGGATGTTCTTGTGCCTCCTGGGGTCAGCGTGCCCTCGGATGTTTTTTGCCTGTTTTGGCCGACAGGGGGCCTCATGTTCTTGAGGTGTGCTCTGCTGGCCCGGGCCCGACTGTAAGCACGAGGGCGACGACGAGGAGCCCTCCGCGCCAGGCGCCAACGGCACCGCGCCCCTGGGGCTGCCCGCCCAGCCGGCGCTGCCGGCCGCGCCGGCGGCAACCCGCCTCACGCTCGCGGAGTACCGCGAGAGGCTGGTGGCGATCTACGAGGCCGCGGCTCCTCGAGAGCTCTCGTGGCCCTGCATCTTCGGGTAGCTTCTCCCGTCCTGCAGAGCGCAGTCTGTTCGTGCACGCACCGACGTGGGTTCGGCTCGGATTCGGTTCGACTTCGACGTGGATGCGGCGCGGACTCGGCAACGATTCGACAGGGATTCGACTTGGACTGGACGCGCTCGACTAGGATTTGACGCGGATTCTACGCGGATCGCGGCGCGGCGGGACAGACGAGGTCCCCGAAGTTGCAACGTATTTTTCGCGGGGGATCGGCGGAGCTGGCCTATGGGCGGTTGGTCCGCCCTGGCGCCCCGTGGCAGATCGAAGGGCAGTGGTCGCCATGGATCAGTATCGTTCAACCGACCTCCATCCCCATCCTCATCCCCTGTCAGACCCCCACCAGATTACCACCCCAGTTGGGGATACACCCCTCGAAGCCCGAAGGGAACCGCCTATATCCCCATCTAGGGGGGTAAATCGGCCAGTGGGGCCCAGGCCACGCCGCTGGGGATGGGGATCGGTTAAACGATGCTCAATGGAGGAAGCGGATCGTGATGTGTTTTTCGCCGTAGGTTTTTTTGGGGGGGCGGGCGTTTGAGGTGGCTCTCGGCGGTTGTGCTTTCGGCGGCTGCGCCTCGCCAAGAGCGTCTCGGTGTGCCTGGATCGTCCCGAACGGCCGCCAGAGACCCGAGTTACGACCCGAAAACCGGGCGACGAGGATCACTGGGGGGAACAAGCTTAAGGGTGGATGCATCGACCCCCAATCGCCCGTCGATCGTTGGTAGGGGCCCGATAGTCCACCCCGCCCAGGCACGTGCGGACTGTGTATTGGGAGCCCATCGCCGATCTATCGGCGATTCATCGCCGATTTTGGGTCGATGTTTCCCCCTGGGCCGGTTCCCCTCTGATGTCCCCCCTCGGATGCGGCTTTCGAGATGATCTTTAACATCTTGTATCTTGTGTCTATCCCGCGTCGGCGCTTTTTGTATGTTCTTGTACATTGTATATTGTATGTTGTATCTTGTATGTTGTACCTTGTACCTTGTATATTGTAGCACAGGCGTTTCTTGTTTGTTGTTTGTGTTTCCCGTTTTCGAGCGCCGCTCTTGCCGCGTCTTCCGGTCTGGAATCGGCCTGTTGCCCACCATCTTTTCCTCTTTCAGTTTTTCTTGTGCTTTTTGCCCCGCCTTCAGATCCTTGTGGTCGAGGAGAGATCCTTGTGGTCGAGGAAAGGCGAACGGCACGTTCACGTCGTGTCGACGCGGTGGCGACCCTCGAGAGGACGTTCAGGGTGGAATGCCGGCGGCGGCCCGGAATGGGGCGACATCGAATCGGCGGGCAGAGAGGAGGGGTTCTGCTGTCGATTTGCTACGACGACCGCGGCGATGACGACCGTGGCGACGAGGATCAGTGGCGAGCGAGGGGGGGAAGCGAGAGAGAAGGGCCGGGCCCTCTCAGAAGGCTCGGACGTCGCCCGGCCTTCTGAGCAGTTCTCGAAGCCTTCCTCGAGGGCACGGGCAGCTGCTCGGGAGGCCAGGGGGGGCTTCTAAGAAGCCCCGCCGCCCTCTGAGGAAGGCCTCCTTCTCCTTCTCACCTCCTCCCCCCTCGCTCGCCGCCGATCGAACGATTCGTGGCTTCGTACAGTCGGCGCCTCTGAGAGCCGCACGGCCACCGCGGCGTTGAGCGGCCGCCGCGGCGGGGCGCGCGGCCCGCGGGCGCAGGTGCACAAGCCGGACAACGTGCCGAAGGTGGACTACCTGATGGAGAAGTACAGGCCGAGGAAGAAAACACTGCATCACCGTGCTCCGGGTCTCGTCGTATCTGCGCTCGAGTCGCTCTACAGGAGGAATGTTCAAGAACAGTCAAACAATAGTCTGAGGACGATGTTTCGATGGTTTTTTTTTTTGATTATTTAAGAGTTTTGTACACTATTTTGTGGGTTGTTTTTTTTTGGTTGTTGATTTCTTTCGTCCAAAATCCGCCTGTAGGGGGCACGCCCGACCTAAATCTACGCTTCCTAGATGGGGTTGGAGTAGATGGGGCCGGAGGACCGCGCCGCACTGCGGGTGCATCGCCGATGCGGCCCGATGCGGAGCCCCATGCCCTTGACGCCGACGTCGCCGCTGTGTTGCCGACGCGCTGCCCATGCGTCGCCGATGCGTCGCCGATGCATCGCCGATGCACCGGCGATGCGGCGCGATCCTCCGACCCCACCTGCTCGGACCCCACCCGGGAGGCCTCTGCACCGGAAGCGCCGGGGGGCCCCGGCCCGACGGGGCCTCGGCCGCGCCTCGCCTCCCGAGGGCCGAGGGCCGCAGCGCCCTCGGCGCGCGGCGGGCGCCCCGCGGCGGGGGGGTCGACGCGTGGCCGCCGGCGGGGGCGACGCGCCCTCCCCCCCCCACGCCTGGGAAGACGCCCGGGGGCAGCCTCCCGAAGCCCCGCGGGGGTTTCTGGGATCTGTTCGGGGGTGGACAGACCGCCTACCCTGACGCGTCGATCAGTGAACTGTCCGTTTTCGGTTCTCGAGAGGGCGCCGCGGTCGTTTTCACTAAACCACGTTTTACTAGAGGGAGGTCTGTCCATCCCCGATCTGTGCCAGGCTCTCCGCGGCGCCTCCGGCGCGCGCCCCGGGGAGGGGAGGGAGAAGTCCGCGTGGAGCGTCGGAAGTGCGTCGTGGTGCAGTGCCGCCTTTGTCCGACAGGGGCAACGTGGACTTCCTGTACTCGAGCGTGTGCACGAAGTATGGCATCCAGCCGGACGTGCCCCGGGCCCCTCCCGGGCGAGGAGGAGATGGTTGTAGCGGGAGGCGGTGGTACGGCGGCGGCGCTACACGGCTCAGGACGCATGATGGTCGTGCTCGTCAAGAAGTCTGATGGAGGATGTGGGAGGAGGAGGAGGACATTTGTTTTGGTGATGGTGATGATGATTGATTGATCGATTGATCGATTGATTGATTCATTGACTTATTGATTGATTTATTGTTTGATTGATTGGTCGATTGATCGATTGATCGATTGACTTATTGATTGATTGATTGATTGATTGATTGTTTGATCGATGATGATTAAGATGCTGATGATGATCACGATGACGATGACGATGGTGATGATGATGCTGATGATGCTGATCATGCTGGTGCTGATGATGATGATGCTGATGCTGCTGCTGCTGATGACGTTGGCGATGATGATAATGCTGATGATGATGATGATGATGATGACATGATGATGGTGATGATGATTCTAATACTGATGATGATGACGATTGCGATGACGATGACGATGACGATGATGATGATGATGAGGATGATGAGGATGATGAGGATGATGAGGATGATGAGGATGTTGATGATGATGATGATGATGATGATGCTGCTGCTGCTGATGATGATGATGATGATGATGATTCTGATGATGATGATGATGATGATGATGATGATGATGCTGATGATGCTGATGATGATGATGATGATGATGATGAGGAGGAGGAGGAGGAGGAGGAGGAGGAGGAGGAGAGGAGGAGATGATGATGATGATGATGATGATGATGCTGATGGATGATGATGATGATGATGATGATGATGATGATGATGATGATGATGATGATGATGATGATGATGATGATGATGATGAGGGGGAGGAGGATGAGGAGGAGGAGGAGGAGGAGGAGAGGGATGATGCATCTGGAGGTCTCCAGAGGCCTCCTGATCCACGGAGGCCTCCAGAGGCAGAGGCTTCTGGAGGCCTCTGAGGAGGCGCACATCGGGCAAGAGACGTGGCACAACATTGTTGCATGGGGCCCTGGTCAAGCAGTTCTGGCCCAAATGCGCTGAACTGGCCCGGGATGCGCGTCTGGCCCGTGCCCATCTCGGCGCACTCCTTACGCGGATCGTGCCCCACGGGGAGCTTCACTCACGGCCTCAGTGGGCACGTTTGCATGCTGGCCTCCGCCCATTTCGGCGCACCCCTCGCGCGGGTCGCGCCGGGTCGGCAGACCCCCAAGGGCTGCTCAGGGCTGGGCTTTTCGCCAGGATGGTCATCGAGACGCTGGAGGGCTGGGGACCTAGTCTCATCGTGCCTCCACCCCGCCGCCCGAAGTTGCCCGTATCAACCTCGGATCATACGTCTTTCCACTGCTACCTTCTACCTCCTACCTCCTATCTCATATAGTGTCCTCCTCATCCTCCTATTCCTCCTCGTCCTTCCTCTTCCTACACCCTCCTGCCTCCCACCTCCAACCTCCCACGTCCCCCTCCTACCTCCTACCTCCCCCTTCCAATCTCCTACCTCCCACATGCTACCTCCCTACATTCTCCACCTCGTCCTCCTCCTGTTCCTCCTACCTCCTACCTCCTTCGTCCTACCTCCTACCTCCTACCTTATCTTCCTCCTCCTCCTTCTCCTCCTCCTCCTCCTCCTCCTCCTCCTCCTCCTCCTCCTCCTCCTCCTCCTCCTCCTCCTCCTCCTCCTCCTCCTCCTCCTCCCCCTCCCCCTCTTGCTCCCCCTCCTGCTACCTTCTACCTCCTACTTCGTACCCCCTACCTCCCGCATCCTGATGACTCGTACCTTCTATCTGCTCCTCCTCCTGCTCCACCACCTCCTCCACCTCCTCCTCATCCTCCCTCTCTCATTGCCCCTCCCCTTTCCTGGTTCCGAAATTCCCACGTTCCCTGTCGCCCCGTCCCCCCGACCCATCCTTCCCGTCCTCCGCTTCCTCGCGCTCACGGTTCCCTCGTCCATATTTTGGGATCCTTTGTCATCGTGTTCCGTTTTCCCCGTGCCTTACCCCTTCCTAACATATTTACATCATGCCTCCTACCTCCAGCCTCCTCCTCGAACTGATCATCCACCTCCTTCTCCTCCTCAAACCTCATGCCCCCTACCCCCTCCTCCTCCTCCTCCTCCTCCTCCTCCTCCTCCTCCCATTTCCTACCTCCAACCTCCTACCTCCTACCTTCTCCCTCTTACTCCCCCTCATCATACCTCCCACTCCACCTACCCGCTGCCTCCTATCTCCTATCTCATACATTTTTATCCTCTTCCTCCACCGACTCCTCCTGTTCGCGTTTCCTCTTCTTACATCCTCCTACCTCCTACCTGCAACCTCTAACTTCGTCCCTCCTACCTCGTACCTCCTGCCACCCTACATTCTCCACGTCGTCCTCCTCCTGTCCCTCCTACCTCCTACCTCCTTCGTCCTACCTCAGACCTCCTACCTCCTACATTATCTTCTTCCTCCTCCTCCTCCTCCTCCTCCTCCTCATACTCCGCCTCCTGCTACCTCTGGTGCGAGTTCAGACTCGCGATTTCAGCCGCGTGCGAGTTCAGCTAGTGCGAGTTCAGCCAGTGCAAGTGCAGTCGGTGCGAGTTCAGCCGTGCGAGTTCAGTCCGTGCGATTTCAGCCGGTGAGAGTTCGCCTCAATGGTATCACCGTAGCCATTTTGGCATCGGCTGCGACGCGCCAGTTCGCGACGATGCGGCGCTTCCTTCCGCCGGCCGCCGCTGCGAACTCCGCCGCCAACGCGGCGGCGGCGACGCCCCGCCCTGCGGCCCTCCACGCGGCGCAGGCGCCCGTCGCCGCCACCGTGGTTGCGCATGGCGCGCCCTCGCCCGCCCTGGCGGGGGACCCCCGTCTGGAGCTGCCACTGCCGCCGCGCTCCGCCAGCCGCCAGAGGCCGAGAGGGCGGTCGCTGCTGGTGGGGCCACGTTTGCCGCAGCCTTGCGGAAGCGAGCTGTCGTCCACGGGCACACCGCCAGGCAGCGGCCCAACTGCGGGCTCGACGCCATGTCAAACTCAGCATTAGCGCGCTGAGGGCGCTGCGCAGGGTGCGACAGTCAACGTTGAAGGCCATGCCGAAAGCTGCCCCCCCGCCCAGGCCGCGGAGCCGTGCGGCAGACGGCGCCGTGGCCGCGCTGCCAGTATCGCAGATGCTGCAGTTAGTCCGGGACCGAACATACCTCACGATGATTCAGGCCGGCGGCGCGTACCGCATTGCTGGCGTCAACGCCCTCCGCGAGAGCGTGGTTTCTGCGGGCGGGCCTTCGGACTTCGTGAGGTACGCCGCCCACCGGGACAACAAGGTCGAACATCATTTTCGCGTGTTCGACGCGGCGTCCAGATGCCACTTCTTAGGAGCCAGAAGCTACGCCCAGAGCGAACGGCACTCCCTCGCATGCCACGTCGCCCGCTGCATTCTTCTCGTCGACCCGGCCCCTGTGAAAGCTTTTTACGCGCACCTGGAAGGCATGGCGTGGCTCACTTCCACGCAAGCCTTCGCGGACGCCTTGGACGCTGGGCTTGCGGAACACGGCGCCGATAGGCCGCGCGCCTACAAGCCTTGGGGCCGCGGCCTTCCAGCAGGCGATGCCGCGGGCTCTCTTCCAGACGACAGCGACGACGAGGACGAGGAGGTCGGCGTCGACTACTTGAGCCGCCGCAGCATCGTCAGGGGTCGCGTGCTCGAGATGTTGGACATCCCGCCGGCCTCGCGCGGCCCGTCCTCCATATCGTACGCCGTGCCGTCGCTGCAGCGCCTGGCTGGCGCGCGAGAGCGAGAGGGGGCCGCCGCGATTCTGCGTGATGCAGGTATTGATGGACCTCATCCTGTCTGCATGCCGGGCCCAGAGGAAACGCGCTTGGACCGTGCGAAAGGCTTTTTACATGGCCGGGTCGGGATGTTTGGTGCGAGGGGACATGGGGGCCATCTCTGCGTTCGCTCAGGCAGCAAAGGCAAACGCAACGTTCAAAAAGCAGTGTTCCGTATTGCGCATGAAGTGCACAATACTGGATATGTGGATGTTCTGTGAGCACGCTTCATGCGCGATCAGGAAGTACGGCAAAACAAGAATGGCCGAATGTTGACTGTTGAGGAGTGCGCGCTGGATGGCTTGATCGATCGGTGCACAGACGCCGACAAGGAAATCGAGTACACTCAGGTTTTAGACTACATCCGAAGTTTGTAGATCAACCGCGGCCTGCGTTTTCTGGATATCCATGCTCGTCGGCTACAGCGCCATGAGCAACGCCGGGCCGAGCGCGGCGGATGTCGTACTGCCGAAGCTGTTGCCCATCGTGCAGGAAGGCGCGCTGGAATGCGGCATCGACGTGCCATCCGTGTCAGGAAACGACCAGAAAAAAGCCCACGCCCGCCTTCGGCCAGCGACGCTGGAACCACTCCCTCTCGCCCTGCCAGCGCTCGCCTTGGCAAAGGCAACGGCCCGGGAACGAAAATCGGATGTTCACTTTTCTTCGAAACTTCCGATCTGATACCCACCTTTTGCCGTGCCAGTTACGCGCCAGGGAACAGCCCGGGAACCGAAATCTGACATTCACATGTCGCTGACTTGGACCCGTTGGGTCAGCGGTTCCAGGCCCCGTGGTAAAACGGCCATGTGCTCGGGGTCGCTCCGACTCCAGTGGGCGAGCAACCCTGGGCACCGCAATCTGAGATTCTCATTCCAGTCAGCCAGAAGCCCCAGGGACCAACTTTAGATTCTCACTGGGCTGCGGTCTCGATTTGGCCCCGCCCCTTTGCAGCGGCGGGCCGGTGCCCAGGAGCGACCCCGGGAAGCAACATCTGACGCTCATGTTTTTTGCCGCCCCGCAGCAGCGGACAGCAGCGCGAGTTCCGTAGAGGAAATGACAGCGTGGGAACCGCGCGGGCAACGGGGGAAAAGGCGCGCCCAGGTGGAGGAGGAAAATGATATTTCATGGAGGAGAAGGCAGACAAAGAGGTGGAGGACGACGCGGAGCAGGAGCAGGAAAAAGAAGCGCAGGTGGAGGACGACGAGGAGGACGAACAGAAGGGAAAGGGACTTCGGCGATCAGGGTTCCAGGAAGTTTTCACGATTTCGACCCCGGGGGGCCGCTTCCTGGCCCAGAGGCCCTCAGAAGCCGATTCTGGAGTGAAGGATAGGACTGTTGCGCAGGAATCGACGACGACGACGAGGGCATAGGCGACGACGGCGGACACGACGACGACGACGACGACGCCGACCGCAGCGCCACTAGAGACACGTCGGTGCAAGGAACAAGATTAGCAGGCGAAGCGCAGCGAGCCTTAACATTTTGTACATTTGATATATATATATATATATATATATATATATTCAGCCTTGCGACGCCGGCGAGATCGCCGCAATGGCTACCGCGCAGCGTCGCGTGGCCGTCGGCCTTGAGTACTTGGCCAGGAACCTCTCCAACCTCGCCAGTCGTGGCCGTTCAAGTGGGGCGTGCCTTCGAACGTGCCGCAGCCGAAGATAGCTGCGATGGATCGCTCTTGGGCTGGCTGGGGGCCAGGCCATCGCGACGTGGAGACCCAGTGGAGCACCGAGACTGGTCCTTCTAGTCCGGTGGACCTCCTAGGTCCCGATCGCAGCGAGATGTGCTGCCTACTGTTCATCATGGGAGAGGTGGATGGGCGCTGCTTTGGAGATATCGTGGGAGATGGCCTTCAAGTGGCGGGCGCGCGGGGGAGCTGCGCCGGCCCCTCAGAGCCCAGTGCGCGCCCGGGCGAGTCTTTCCATGATTGCGGGGGGCTTTCGATTATCGACGAGGGGTCCCACGAGGGCGCCTCAAGCGACCTGCATTTTGTCGACTCGACCCGGTGGGCTTCCCTGACGAGCGACCAGCGGGTTGTCATGCAACAAGCACTCTCGGCAGGCTCCGTCACGTTTGACTCCGTTCTGGAGACTTGGTCTCGATTGGCCCCGTTGTCTCTGCCGCCGCGCGTCATCTGCGCGGACGTTCTCCATCGCCGTCTCTGCCTGACAGTCGGCGCTGGGCCCGTGGCGACATCCGAAGCCGTCGAGGTCGACGGGGATGGCAGCGCGTGCATCGAGATCATAGCCCCAGATGGGGTGCGCAAGTTGATCCTCGACCGCCGAGTGCCCGCCGTCATTGCGCCGGGCTTTGGGTCTACGTGGCAGCACCGAAGGAGGCGTGCGATCGAACGCGGCGCCGGCCGACTCACCCCTCGCGAATTTTAAGAGCACGCTGCGGCAGTGGCCGCGGCTGGGCTCGAGGAGCTCCAAGTTTGGGTGGGCCGCGACCGCTTCTCGCTGGGGCCATGCCGAAGGGCCCGAAACATGCTGGACGGCAGGTGGGTCGGCAGACGGAAGTGGACGCGGAAAGAGACGGTTCCCGCGCAGGAAGTGCGGGTCATTCGCGCGCGGCTGACCCTGCGAGGTTTTGAAGACGTCGACGCTGACCTTCCGCCGCCCGCGCTGGCATATCCTCGCGACTCTTACAGCGAATGAGTGTTTCAGAGGAAGCCTGCCGAGGACGGGTGGTCGACGCTGGGGATGGCGGGGAAGCTTTCCTCAGAGGGGTCATTCATCGGATGGGGGTGATCGCGAAGTCATCTTCGAGCGCTCCCCTGACGCCGTTGCAGTCTTCGCAAAGTGGGGGGGTGCGTGGTCTGACCCGGCCCTCGGTTCTTCGCGTTGAAAGACGAGGCGCCAGCTGCTGGGGCGCGCCAAGATGCTTGTCCGTTTAATTGACAAAGGCCACCAGAGGCCGGTGCCGGGCCGCCCACGCACGTTGCGACAATGATGTGAGATCGTCGCCAAATCCGCGACGGTGGGGCGCGTGATCTAGCTGCGAAGCAAGTTTACGACATCAAAGTGGTAGGAACTCCCCAAGGTGGAGCGTGCTCCGGTCAGGGTGAGCTCGATTTTTCCGAAGGGGCATCTGCGTGCCGTGGAACGCGACATTCACTTGCGGGCACGTATCGGATACGGCAGGATCGAACATATTTCGCCCGCGGTTCGAAGCGCATCAGCCGTGCTGATCTTGATGGCCAGGCCAACTCTGAGCTCGCCTCCGAAGATTTGGCCAAGCTGTACCTCGGCCTACTTAGTGCCTTGGCCTTCGCGCTCATTCCATGCGTCGATTTGCGCGTCCACGCGGTCGCGCTGCAGCGCCGCGCGGCAGTGCCGACGCGCGGTCGCATGCGCAAGCTCGACGGATTGGTGAGGTGGGCCCAGACTTCCCGCAAAGGGGGCGCTACCCGCCTATGCGATGCGCGGGCAAGCTGCAGATGCGCGGTGGCGCAGCCTTCCGGGAGGATCACGAGGGGGGCATCGACGCAGGACAAGCCCTTCATGGAGCTACCTTCTCCGCCGGGGCAGCGCCGACACAGCTGGGCAGCGCCCCTTCGTTGGCGGGAAGTCCTGGCGCCTACTTGATTGGAGGGCCTGTGCGGACCTGGTTCCGCGCGACGCCGGAGAGATGGGCAGCTACCTTTGGTATTGCACATAGTGATGCTTGGACTCGATGGGCGCGGTAACTTCCTTGACCGTGACTGAGCCCAAGCCTCCAGCAGAGCAGTCGCTACAGTCGGTGGACAAAGTATCGCCGGTTATCTGAGCATTATGATAAACAGCGTGCCAATTAGGATCATATTCCATCGATCTGAGGACCCCCCATCCCCGCATTTCAATGTTGACTTGCGTTATTTTGCCCGCCCGGACTTGGGGTGCTCGCTTGGCGCCAACGTTGAGATGTAGGGGGCGGGGATTGTTCGTCGAGGTGGCGCCGCAATGTGAGTGCAGCCGCGCGCGTTCAGGAGCAACTTGCAAAATTTCGTCGTCCCACCGAAGGAAGTACAGACTTTTATGTGACTCGAAGTGCACGTGCATCTAACAATCAAGCACCTCATCAGCCGCAGTTCCCATCCCTACCAGACAGCCGGCAACGAGTCAATGCGCTATCCCTGGCTGTGCAACGTGGTGAAGCTTCCAGAGTAGAACGTGTGTTTGCTCTCTTTGGGCTCGCGGGGAAGTCTTCGTGTCCTCTGATCGTATTTCCTGGCTTTGCAAGCGCATCGTCTTCGGCGCCGCCTGATCCCGAGGCTTTGCCTCCTCCTGGCCTTGACGTGAGGCCTCTCCATCTGTCCCCCCTCTTTGTTTATTCAGGCTTCGCGCGGCCCGCTTAGTCTCCACCGGAAGAGGTGCGCTCTCGACCCGCGAATCAAAAAGCAAATATATCCTGGCCTTTCCGAGGCACCCCACGCGGCGGTCAGCGATGCAGCCAAGTTGGCTGCCAGCGAAGCAGCCAGCAAGACCGCCAAGGAGGCAGCCAACGAGGCAGTCAACAAGGCAGCCAACGAGGCGACCAACAAGGCATCCAACGAGGCAGCCAATAGGGCAGCCAACAAGGCAGCCAATGAGGCAGCCGACAAGGCAGCCAACAAGGCAGCCAATGAAGCAGCACACGAGGCAGCAAACAAGGCTGCCAAGTGCGCCAACGAAGCAGCCAACGAGGCAACCGGCGAGGCAGCCAACAAGGCCGCCAACAAGGCAGCCAACGAGGCAGCCAGCAAGGTAGCCAACGACGCAGCTAACGAGGCAGCGAACGAGGCAACCAACGAGGCAGCCAATAAAAACAGCCAACGAGGCAGCCAACAAGGCAGCGAAAGAGGCAGCTAACAAGGCAGGTAACAAGGCAGCCAACAAGGCAGCCAAGAAGGTAGCCGACGAGGCTGCCGACGAGGCAGCCACCAAGGCTATCAAGTAGACAGTCAGCGATGCAGTTGACTGGGCGACCAACAAGGCTGTCAGTAATGCAGCCAACGAGCCAGCCAGAAAGGTTTTCAACTTGGCCGTCAGCCAGGCAGCCAAGAATTCTGGCAGTGGGCACGCAGCCGACGAGGCAGACAACGAGGCAGCCGACAAGGCAGCCCACGAGGCAGCTAAAGAGGCAGCCGACAAGGCTGTCAGCACGGCAGCCGACGAGGCAGCCAAGAAGGTTGTCAATTTGGAGGCCAGCGAAGCAGCCAAGGTTGCTGTCAACTTGGCCGTCCGCGAGCCAGCCGGTCACCTTGAGTTAGCGCAGCGGAGGAATTCGTGCCCTGCGGCGCCAGCGAAAGCACGTGACCCGATTTTCTGGTCATCCTCGTTCCTGGTCGCTGGGGTTTGCCCACACCAGCGTCGTCGCGGACGACAGGGCCGGTCTGCGAATGAGCCTTCTCGTCGCTGGGTTTTGTCCAGACCAGCAGCAGCGGGAATTTTGCGCGGCCCAAGCCAGCTTCGTTTCGGAGCGACGGGTCGGAACGAGGGGGATCCTGTTTTGGATCCCCTTGCCGCGGCAATTTTCAGCGGCTTAGAGGTCAAAGTCCAGCGCGGCATTCCGACATCGCAAGACTGCGGAGCGTGGGGGGCCCAAAGTTTGGGCGCCCGCGCTGGGCCTTGGCGCGCCCGACGGGGGCGCCAACCACTGGCGCGGCGGCCGACGCGGCAACCGCGAATGGGGGATCAATACATGGACCCCCGCATGTCCGTAAGGGCATCCAAGAACGGGATGCCCTAATTGCGGATGCCCTCACTGCGGAGCAATAGTGTCGCCGATATAATGGCAGCGCGTGGGCCGGCCCAGCGCTTCGATTGCGTGTCGAGCTGGTCGAGAGATTCACGTCGCAGCCGCTCGGGCTCAAGGCAGGGCGCAGGTTGCGATTGTAGGAGGGGCTCTCGCCCAAGTGCATTCCTGTTGGGACCATGTACCACTTCTCCGCTGAGGAGCATTCCCGTTTGAAGAGTCTCCAGGGGCAGGGACGCAGCTGGCCGAAATCGCTACATTGATGGGCCGAGAGTTATCCAACGTGTACCGCCACTTCCAACGCAATCTGCAAGGAGATTTGGCACCGAATCCCGTGGGGCGGCCACCTGCCCTGTCGGCGGCCCAGGTGGACAAGGTGGTCGAGACCACCGAGGCCATGGTTGTGGCTGCCGACGGCAAGTACCAGGTCACGGCCTTGATGGTTCGAAACGCTTGGGTCTCAGTTCGGTGCCGCGGATCTCCGACGCTACTCTGGAGTGCCATGTCATTCCGTTTGGTCGCCGTCGCTTGCGTTCGAGGTCCTATTTTCCCGCGCCTGCGATCCCCGATCGACTGGTCTCATCGCGATCGCGCCGGGCGCGTCGGATCCTCGATCGACGGTTCGCGCCCGATGCGATTCGGCGCGGGGTTCTTGCGCGCGCAGGCCCTGAAGCTGAAGTGTTCCGTCAAGAGGGTTCAGGAGGCGCTGCGCAGCCGCGGGGTACGCTTCCGCCCCAAGCGCGAGAAGCCCATTCGCACTGTCGATGACGAGAAGGACCGGCTGGCCTTTGGAAATCGGCACGCCAAGAAGCCCCCCAGCCTCTGGGTGAGTGGGATCCATGCGCATTTGGATGACAAGATATCCCCGTTCTACCCGAATGGACAGGGCCGCGCATACGCGGCCAAGAGGGCTGCTCGCGGCACTTACCGCGCCAAGGGCAAGGGCTTGGCGAAGGGCCACGTGAAGCCTCGTAGATCGTTGAAGGTCCTCTTTGGTAAGGGCGTCAACGTGGCCGTCGCCATCTCCGCGAAGAAGGTTCTCATGTGCCACGTAGTCCCCAAGCAGTGGAACGCCGCGGAGGCGTCGACGATGTACTCGAAGTCCTTGTCGCCAGCGCTGCGCCGTGCGTGCTCCGGCAAGACGCGCTTCCTGGTTTTGGAGGACAACGACCCCTCGGGGTACAAGTCCAAGAGTGCAGTGCAGACCAAAGTCGCTCATTCTATCGAGGTGCTGCCTTTTCCGAAGCGCTCGCCAGACATCAGCCCGTTGGATTGCGGCTTCTGGGACTGCGCCAACCGCCGCCTCCGCAAGCAGGAGGCCGCGTATTCGTCTGCTAAGAAGGAAACCAGGGCCGATTTCGTGGCGCGCCTCAAGAGGGCTATCCAGCGCGTGCCCGAGGCCATCTTGACGCCACTGGTGAAGTCCATGGGCCGGCGTTGCAAGGCCCTCCAGCGGGCGAAGGGGGAAGACTTCGAGGAGTGATGGCCCGGGCGGCCCTCGTGGCTGCCGACGCCGCGGACGTTCGGCCCCCCGCCGGCGGCCCGCCGCCGAGGGCGCGGGGGGCGCGCGAAGTTCGTGCCCAGTCGCCGCGGCGGGGCGCCGGGACCTCGGGCCAGCCGCCCACCAGCCAGATGGGGGCAATTTCTTGAGTTGTATTTTCCCGACAGGCAGCCGATCTTGACGTGCGCTTTGTTTTGGCCTTCCCGAGAGAGAGAAACGGTTTGTCGCGCGGCCCCCCTGCCGATCTTGGCGCTGGGTTGCTCGGCCGAGGCCTGTCGGTTCAACCGCCGTGGGCCCCCGAAGGGCATGAGTTGGTTACTGAGTGACATGGACTTCCTTCCAGCCGGCTCCAGGCCCTCGCCGGGGCCGCGCTCGGGTTGGGCCTGGAGCGCGGCGCGCCAGGCTCTGCCTGGGCGACGCCGGCGCGTGGCCTGCTCAGCGCAGCTGGCGCGACAGGTTGGCGGCGCGGGCGCCGCGCCTGCATTTTCCGTATTCGAAAACTCCAGTGCTATTTGCATACCTATTTGAATACCTATTTGAATACCTATTTGAAAACTCCACTCATATGCGGATTTGGATTTGCTACGAGCGAATAGTGGAATTAAAAAGGATGTAATTTTTCTGTCTACCAAAAAGATCAAACATCGGTCCCCCCATATAAGTGAAGTTTTCAAATAGGTATTCAAATCGGTATTCAAATAGTATTCAAATAGTCGGGGAGTATTCAAATCGGCCAGATGCGGGCGCTGCGCGCGCCCTGCCAGCCCGTCGTCGCCTGGCGCGCCTTGCCCCGCTGCGCGGCCGCGTGCCCGCGACGGGCGACGCTCGCCATGTTGCCTGGGCAGTGCCCAGCGCAGCCTAGGGTGCGCCTGGCGCTGCAATCGCAGTGCGGGCCGCGCGCGTCCTCGTCGCGGCTGGGGATCGGCCCGGGCGCGGGCCAGACCCTACGCGGGCTCGGCGCTTCTCGCCCGGCGCAGGCGAAGCCGAAGATATGGCTTTGCTTTGCCTGCGCCGCGGAGGCAGCCCAGCGCGGCCGAGCTCCGTTCTGCGCGTCCCAGCCCCCGCGAGCTCAATATAGTGCAGTGCCGTTCAGGTCAGCCCGGCGCAGGTGAGTCCAGGTCAGCTCAGCTGGGTCCAGCTCAGAGACCAGCGAGTTGTGAACCTTTCGGTCCAGTGGCGGTTTGGCTCGAGCTCGCGCGCTCGCCCTCGCTTCTCCTCGCCGCCGCGCGACTGCCATCGCGGCGGTGGAGGCCCGGCAGGGCGCGCCCGCGGCCCGGTCCGAGGGGTCGCCCGTGGCCCAGCCAGAGGACGCGCCCGCGCCCCTGCTCGAGGCCGCGCCCAGGGCCCAGCCCGCGGCGGCGCAGCCAGCCGACGGCCGCGGCTCAGACTCCAGCTCCAGCGGCGGCAGCGAAAGCGAGGGCGACGCTGCTGCCGACGAGCCAGACGCCGAGTCGGACGCCGACTGGGTCAAGGAGGAGGAGAACGAGCAGGCGCGAAGCCACGTCTTTTTGGTGACCTATTCCGCCCTGCTCAACGCGCCCGAGGACGCGGATATGGCGAACCCAGCCGACATGGACGACAGGGAGTTCTTCCGGAAGGCGCTCCTAGACGCGGTGGCCAACCTCGCCCCCGCCGCCGGCAGCCAGGGGGGGCGCCCGCGGACCAGGGCGTTGGAGGTCAACTTCCTGCTCACCGTCCAGGAGAAGCACCAGGGCGGGAAGGTGCACTACCACCAGGCAGTGAAACTGTCGCACGAGACTCGCTTCCTGCCAATAAAGACTGCGCTCCGGCAGCGGTCGAAGCTCGCCTCTCACTGGAGTACCTCGCACACCGAGCTCTGGAGTGCCGTGCGCTACCTGACGCGCACCAGTGACAGGAGGAAGTCGGTCGACCGCAGCCCCGACGTCTGGGCGAAAGACGGCCCGGCGCCCAACCTCTACGAGATGGGCAACGAGGGCTGGGGTGCGAAGATGCACGAGCGCAGGCGGGGGCAGGCGGCAATGGCGCCGGGCGACCAGGTCCTTGAACGCAGCGCAGAGAAATCCAAGGATATCTTCGGGAAGCTGGACTTGTACGCCCTTGTCGTGTCCGACAAGTTGCTGACGCCTCGCAAGGTGATGACGTACGCGCAGAAGGAGGGCCCCCTGGCCATGCAGAACTACGTCGCCTGCAACCAGCGGAAGATGGCCGAGCTAATCGAGGATGCTCTGGAATGGGGGGGGGGCGTCGGAGAGGGCCGAGGAGGACGACGAGAGCGACTGGGACCTCATCCTGCGGAAGGCTGCGTGCACGTGCGGTGGCGGCGAGGCGGGCTGCGAGTGGTGGGCGGCAGCCGTGGCCTTCTTCGACAGGAACCCGGGGGTCGACAGGGACTACTTGGCGGCGTGCTTGGTGAAGATCATCGAGGAAGGCCTGAGCAAGACGGCGCGCGTGCCTCTCATCGTTGGGCCGCGCAACGCCGGCAAGAGCACGGTCTTGAAGCCGGTGCTGACTCTCTTTGGGGAGGGCGGCATTTTCACGAAGCCCAAATTGGGCGCCTTCTGCCTCCTGGCCAAGCTGATCTGCCCACAGCGTCGGTTCATTTTCTTTGACGACGACAGGCCTGTGGAGTGCGCTTCCATGCCAGAGAGAAGCCCCGCGGTGCCAGTCACGGACTTCTGGCGATGTTTCGTGGCCAGAAGTTTCAAGTCCAAGTCAGCCGATGCTTCAACAACGGTCAGCCGGACACGATCTGGAAGCGCGGGGCTGCCATGACTGCGAAAAAGAAGGGCTTGTGGATGCCGAGCTACGTTGTGCCGCAGGAGGAAATCCGCCAGATGCAGGCCAGAGTCGTCCAATTTGAGGCGAAGGGCAAGCTTAAGGAGGCTGATTTCAGGACCGTGGCTAAGTGCTCGGAGAGTTTTGCGCGGTGGCTGGTCACGGGTTCTACGCATTATGGGAACAGGCTCCCGCGGCAGCCGACAGCCCGCGAGGAGGCGCAGCCGCGCAGGGTTGTGCTGCCTTTGCCACCGTTGCCTGGCCCAGCTGCCTCTTGAAGTAGGTGTCACATCCTGCGTGGGCCTTCTCTTCGCGCTGTGATTGTGTCAGACAACCATTTGTGTAGGGGAACCAGTCGGCACGGGACGCATGGGGCAAGTTTACAGACGTGGGGCGCACTTTTCTCGTTATTGTGACTAGGGTCAGCTGATCCAACCGCTTTTTACATTAGATGCCACTTGTGGTTTTGGCTTCCTTTTCGCATGATTGTGTCAAACACATATTTTTGTAGGGGGCACCAGTCGGTACGCGATTTACAAAGCAAATTGAGCAACGTCGGGCGTGCTCTTCACATCACGGCTACGCGCCAGCAGTTGGGGTGCATTATTGGTTTTGCTGTGGGTTACATTTCCAGAAATCTCTTCGCCCCCCTCCGTCGCCTTCATCATCGTCATCCTCGTGCCCCTCACTTCCGCCCCCCCCATCTCTGCCCGTCGGTGGGCGGCGCCCGACGGCACGGTGGCCGCCCGGGGCCCGAACGCACCCTGCAGCACGCGTGGTGTGAATACGCCACCATCGCCGCCGTAAGCGTCATCTTCCGTGTGGTTGTCCCTGCTGCGAGGCGCATCCAGCCGTGGCGACGAAGGGCTTGCAGGAGGCCCCACAAGGCCCGACAACCGTCCGAGGACCATGTGCTGATTTGATGACCCTTCCGCACTCCCCCCAGAATCCCCCGACCCTCCCAATCTATCCAAAACCTTCGCACTCCTGTCAAAACTTGCAGACCCTCCCATTCCTCCACGCGCCCCGCCCTCCTCCCACAACCTCCAGGCAATCTCATTCCTCCACGCCCACCGTTCCGCACTCCTCCCAACACCTCCCGACCACTCCCATTCTTCTCCACCCCTCGCCACTCAGGCAAAGACTTCCAGGATCCTTCCATTCCTCCCTCAATTTCCGCACTCCTCCCAAAACCTCCAGATCCTCCCTCTCACCACCTCCGCACTCTTCCCAAACCCTACAGGTTCTTCCACACCCCTCCGCACTCTTCCCAACAAATCCAGACCTTCCCATTCCTCCACGCCCCCCCGCACTCCTCCCAAGACCTACAGACCACCTCCATTACTCTTATACCAAAATCTTCCGCTTCTGGGACCCTCCCATTCCTTCTAAACCTCCGCTCTTCTCCCAAAACCTCCAGGTCCCTCCCATTCCTCTCACAACCTCCGCACCCCTCCCAAAACCTGTGGGTCCTTCCGATCCTTCCGCGGTCTTCCCAAAACCTCCAATCCCTTCCCATTCCTCCACACCCGTCCGCACTCCTCCCAAGACCTCCAGACCCCTCTCATTCCTTTCCATGCACCCCTCCGCACTCTACCGAAAACCCTGGGAACCCTCCATTCCTCCCTGAACCTCCGCTCTCCTCCAAATCTTCCGGGTCCCTCCCAGTCCTCTCACAACCTCCGTACCCCTCCCAAAACCTCTGGGCCCCCCCATTCCTCCCACAACCTCCGCACTCCTCCCGAAACCTCCAGATCCCTCCGCATTCCCCCAGAACCTCTACACCCTTTCCCATTCCTCACTTTCCTCACTAAACCTCCGCATTTCTCCCAAAAACTCCAAACACCTCCCATTCCTCCACATCACTCCGCACTCCTCTGAAAGCTTCCTGGTTCTTCCCATTCCTCTCTCAACCTCCCCACTCCCCCCAAAACCTCGAAAAGCGTCTCGTTCCTCCTCTTCTTCCTCCTCCTCTGCTCTCTCCTCCTCCTCCTCCTCCTCCTCCTCATCCTCCTCCTCCTCTCCCTCCCACTCCTCCTCCTCCTCCTTCTCCTCCTTCTCCTCCCCCTCCTCCCTGAACCTCCGGTCTCCTCCAAATCTTCCGGGTCCCTCCCAGTCCTCTCACAACCTCCGCACCCCTCCCAAAACCTCTGGGCCCCCCCATTCCTCCCACAGCCTCCGCACTCCTCCCGAAACCTCCAGATCCCTCCGCATTCCCCCAGAAC